TGAGAGGGTGAATACACCCTGGATATTTGTTTTTTATGAATTAAAAACTATAATATTGTGATATTAAAATATCACAATACCATATCCAGATTTTTTTGAAGCTTCAATTTCTTATTTTGACCAATTCAATATTTTTCTTAGAGGCTGCAACAGATGAGATAAAATAAATATATTCTAGGTTCATCTGTGAAGGTTTTAATTTTAAATGAGTCCAGGTATCCATCAAATAAATAGTGCAAACTTTTGTCTGCACATTGCTGTACATAGTTTTCTTTAATGTATTAAGAGATTGAAAGTTGTTTTGTAGTGTTGACGTATTTCTTAGACGAAAAAGAAATTAAATTAAGCAGTTCATGAGAAGAATGGCCAATGTGGCCAATCTCTAAATTAACTTTTTTTTTTCACATTTTGAAAAAATAGGGCAGGTTATCTTCTAGCCTACCAACTAGAATCATTTAGTCTAAAGACTGTTATTTAGGATTTTGGTAATAAAATAAAATTATTGGTTTCAACCATCTTCTATTGACAGAATCAATTATTCCAAATCTGAAATTATAGTCATAAAATGCTTTTAAGAAGATACTTCATGGCACATAAAACACAGCAAGTTATATTCAAGTCAATGTAGCTAAAAGAACTGGTGTTCATCTGAATGTTTGAATGTCCTTTTTTTTCACTCAGATATCACCCATTTAAAGCCCAGCGGCTCAAACGTGAGGCTATTTTCTTTCTCATCTCTCATATTGGAAATTGTTCCTGTTTGGACTGGAAAGGGGACTGACTTGGAAAGGGCTGGTCACAGATAAGAACATTTCAAATGTTTTTTATAATCCATGGTATTTAAACCTCCTTTATGACCCATAACACAAGGGATTAATCCGGATGAATCCTGCAGCTCCAAGATCTTAATTTCTTCTGCAAGATTATCTAGTGGCACTGTGATATTTGCACTTATGTAATATAGTATAAGAATTCGATGAAGTGACTCTACAGCAGAGATTAATATTTGTGTCAACATGAATTCATCTGGGATTATGGCGGGGCAGTAAAAGCTATTTTCCTGTTGTCGAGACAAAACAATACATAGAAAAGCTTTCCAATTTTATAAACTTACAGGAGCACATTTCTGAGGGGCTCACGTTGGCCAACTACCAGATCTAAATTGGATTATCTCTGCTGTAGAGTCACTTCATCAGTCCAGGCAGCATTCTTCAAATGATTCATTAAAATGGCTATTTAATTCTCTTGTGGCACACAATGCATCTACAGCTCTGACACTGACAGGAAGAAGGGGCAGCTGTTATGGGAGGTAAAAATCCTTCATCCACTGAGGGCATATGCATGGATATATGCAGCAGTAGGCAACCTTGTTATAGATAATCTTAAGCATAAAAAAAGACCTTTTTTTTAAGTGGAGTTTTGGAGATTGAAAAATTTGTTTTTAGACAGAGGTTAAAATAAACAAAAAATGTTCTTCTCAAAAGGGTATTTCTTACTCTATCTTTGAAACCTTTGCCCCAATTGATAGATAAGTCATATTGTTTCATTGTTTACAATTTATGTGTTTAAATGTTACATAATTTGTTAACTAATCATGTATTATCTAATTTTAATGTTCAGATTTATTCTGTACTGGAGCAGTTTTGTAAATCGGAGCTACAATAAAATCTCCGTCTCATGCTTGTAGGGTCATGTTGCATGTGGTGCAGTGGTCAGATTTCAAACCTATGTCCATCAAAGGATAACACAGAGGCAAACAAGAACAGACATGCAGACATATACTGGGAGAATTTAGATAGATTGTAGGGAGCAAGAATACTTGAAGAGAATCCATATAATGTATGGCCGAGGAGAATATAAAACCCCAAA